ACACAAGCCGCGTAGCCTACCATGGAACTAGATGGTGCTGTGTGTTAATGTCCCAACATATTTATATTTATTATCAGTTCTATATGTATTCATACATCAGAGTAAAGAAGAAATAAACAAGCAAGTGAAGTCAAATAACTAAAATAGTAAAAGTAAATATTTGTGAATTTCTACCACTTTTTCATGCTCTTATATTTAGATCTAGATTTCTAAATAAAGTTATAACCTAAATACTTGTTATCCTAGTTTTCAATTTAGTTCTCTTGCTTAATGGCTTCAAAACGTGCCAGTTGTGCACAAATTACTTTGCCAATGTCACGTAGAATGGAGACTATATGCTTTTACCCGACTTCCAAAAAGGAGGTTGTCAATTCGTCGGAATCTTTTTTTTTGTTAATAACGTTGATTGAGTGCTACACACTTGTCAATTTTTTTGCATCTATAGATACCCGCATTTGAGCTCAGCTGTCTTTTGCCCACATGCCTTTTTTCAAAGTAATATTCGTCATCCGTCCAACGTATTTATGCTTATACAGGAGTGAAAGGACAAAATAATTACCTTGTATTTTATTTTAGACTAGCGACGTTTCTAGGCTTTTGTTCACAATTTCATGGGTTTTAATTTTTTGCACGGAACCCTAATTCTTTTTATAAATAAAAGCTTAAGTTACTCCTTTGTAACGTCAGCTATCTGCTAGTAAAAGTTTCGTCGAAATCGGTCCAACTGTTTTGGAGATTAGATGAAACAAATAGACAGACAGACAGCCATAAAATTTAAACATTGTTTTTTTTCTTATAAGTAGGTACCGTATATACGTTTTTCTTCAGACTTTTCAATTTTATTTATCTGTATAGATAAATTTACCGTCATATATTTATACCGTACCGTAACTTTTATTTTAGAAAAAAAACTAGGGTGCCACGCAAAAAAATTAAAACCCATGAAATTGTGAACAAAATCCGTGTGCCTAGGAACGCACCCGAGCAAATCGAGGGTAAAAATCGCTAGTATAAAATAATATGACAATTTAAATCCTAGGTATCGATCATTTCAATTGTGTGTGGTCAAGGCCTGTCTGAGAAGACGTCTGCCCAAATGGATTTCTCACCAGAAACCACTCTAGCTCAAAATTATCTCGATCTCTTGAGTGAAATGTGTCAATACATATTTACAGTACACAAAAGATGAGTGATATTTAGAAATGACTACCCGATGTTATTAGTATAACGTAATAAATTAAATTTTTATAATTACTATTTTGGCATGAAAAATATTCATCTATGTATACATATAATAAAATTTTAACTGAGTCGAATCTGTACATTAAATATTTTTTGTGAAATATTATTGAAGTAGTCATTAATATCGATACAGAGGCCGACTCTATAGTTTTTGAGAATTTTTGATGTCTGTCTGTCTGGAACGCATTATGAAAAAACCACTGGACAGATTTTGATGAAATTTGATATGAGGATAGCCGGTTATCCGGGTCAACATATAGGATATGTTTTACCGCAGGAAAATATCTCATATCTGAGAAGCCACTATGATATAATACACAACCATAGACATATGAACTAATGCTAATTAATGTTTATGGTTAATTAATATGTAGATTTTTTAATAATAGTTCAAGATAAAGTTAATAAAAATATTTAAAAATGAAACTGATATTTTTCTTTAAAAATTAAGATTGAATATTGAGGCCTTATTTTTTATTTCTTTAGTTTCAAGATAAAAATTATTCATATCATAAAATACAAAATAAACAATAAAAGATAACAATTATTATATGATAATATACTTTTTAATTTTGTATATTGAATCATATTTTCATTTCCTATATATATATATATATATATATATATATATATATATATATAAATATTTTGTATTAAATAATACAGAATAGACCATTAAAAAATGAACTTAATTTTTTTTTAATCAAAACTTTGTACTTTCTTAGACTTACGCGAATTTTTGACTTTCTAAATAAAACTATCTCTTTTGGATTTTTTCGTAATAAATATATATTGACCGTTGAGATGTCTAAAACCTTAATCTCTCTCGTGACCATGATCACTGTAAACCATTCAAAACGTCGGGAACCAAAAATCTAAATAATACCTAGAAAATTCGAAAATTCCAATAAAACTATTAATTTTTATAATGACCATTCATATAATAAATACGTGAAAAAGAACTTATATATAAAATCAGATAAAATCTATCTTTATTCTGTACTTCACTCAAATCGACATAGCAGGTAGAACGTGATATGTAACAAACAGACGCAAACACAAAATAAAATAAAATAAAATTAGTTATTGTCTAACCTCTAAAGTTCTGGCTACGTCTTGCTATTTAATTTGCAACTTCTCATGATGATCACGGCTTTGTATAGACATGCTTAGAACTGAAAGCTCTTGCTGTAAGCTCTTTCCATATACTTGATATGTTAAAATGAAGCTTTAATAAAAAAAAATTTGGTACAGAAAATGATAACAAATATATAATATATAATTATTGATATTATAAAATTGCTGTTCAGTTATATTTGTTCACAAATTAGCAAAATAATTTATAAAAGATACTTAATACTACGAAAAATTCATTGAGGTATTCTTAATTTTTAGGACAGACAGATAAAAAGAAAAACAATTCAAATTAAGAAATTTAATCATCATATTTTTTATTATCGAAGAACTGTTACAAACTATACATATACTCTTATGTTAATAATTTTATCAAAATATAATCGGCTTTTATTTTATCCTTTGCATTAGTTAATGTTGATTAATTATATTAATCTATACATTATAATAAAATTCTAACAATCAAACTACAATAAATATTTTTTTGAAAATCTTATTGAAATAGTCATTATTATCGATACAGAGGCCGAATGCATGGTTTTTAGAATTTTTGTCTGTCTGTCTGGGCATCACGAGAAAACCACCGGATAGATTTTGATGAAATTTGGTATGATGATAGCTGGTTATCCAGGTCAACATATAGAATACTTTTTACTGCCAGAAAATATCTCATCTTTGAGAAATCTATACTAACCTTAAAACGTAGAGACAAACCCAAGCGGAGCGAGAGCGAGTCGCTAGTATGTATATAAATAATTATAGGGTATAAAGAGAAGTCATAAAGAGAAGTCATAAAGAGAAGTCAAAAATTCGCCATTTTTGTGAGTGTTGGGTACGAACTCAAAGTTTTCTGACATCATAGTAATCTCATATTATCTAGGAATTAAGTGTTTCAATACTCCTTAAATTAAAGGTTTCAAATACAGGATAAAGTTGCCAAAGCAAATTATATATTTAAAAAAAAAATCTAATACCTAGTAGTAATTTTAATAATTATGTCAAATTACACATTTAAAAAGATACAAATTTTTGGTAAAAACAATATGAAAAGGGGGGTGGAATATTAATATTTACCTATGCGTATATTAATTCAATATATACTCGTAAGTAAGAAAATGTAAATAAAATTAACTATTTCGTCCCCTTGCAGATTAAGAACTACTTACGTGTTTTCTTCACTGTTTATAATATACGACAATAGTACTGTTAGACACTGTAGATATTTGACGACAAGTTTGGCTCAGTTTGTAGTGAAGCTACTTGCTGTGCCAGCGGTCTCGGGTTCAAGTCCCGTTGGGGCATTCGTTTGGGAGATGAGCACGGATGCTTGTACTCCAGTCATGGGTGTTTATATTTATAATATGTGGGTATTTATAGTTATATTTGTGTATTGTATCAACTGTCTGGTATCCATAACACAAGCCTCGTAACTTACCATGAAACTAGATGGTGTTGTGTGTTAATGTCTTAACATATTTATTATATTATTATATAATCATACTTACACCTATCAGCTTGGATACAATATAAATAAGCTTTCAAAAACCAAATTATAGTTCATTTTTTTAATATGTAGATAAAATAAATCTAATGGGTATATATAAATAGCAATTATTGATATTTTTATAGATTAAGCACATTTTTTGATAAATTTTATATGTAATGTTTAGTTATTTTATAAATAAAACACATATTTGATGTAAATACAAATATTTTACTAAATTTCTAACAACATATATTTACTTCGTATTAATCTTAAGAAATTTGATAATTCTATAGTATGATACATATATCTATAAACTCAAAAATTTTATTTCAAATTCACCTCAATTATTTGTATACAGATTATCGATGCAAAAAAAAACCTACAAACTAAGTATTTCATACGTAATATACTCGTGTACTCGTACTCGTATGTATTACAAATTTTACTTGCTATTTCGCTACAATCCAAACTTCACACAAAAATAAAATCCTTAAACATTAACTATATATATCCAGTATATATACATAATAAATATCGATGAAAATGTAATGGATCGAGGTAAAAATAAAGTTGATTTTCGTTACGGCGGTTCGTAAATCTAACAAGGTGAAACAACTTGTCCACAGTAAAAACATTTTTTGCCTATAAAAATTTGTTTGTACGCCTCGCGACTGTCTCGCCGAAAACCCATAAACATGAGCAAGTCAGGCCGACTGCCGCTTTCCCCCACTCTGGAATAGGCGGCGTCGTTTGATGGGGTGTGGCTTAGCTGTAGAGGGGATACGCGAGCCAATAGCCGAGCGTATTTCCAGACAGAGTTTCGAGAAGGACAGAAAAGTTGTTTTGTGATTGGTCGGCGATATCAAGCCCCGCCTATTGGGTGGGGCTTAAATGGCTCTATCCTACAACGGAGGGGCGTTTGGTTTCGGGCGCGCGCTAGTCTGTGTTAAGGAACGAGAGAGTGAAGGTGTGCCGTTCTAAGGCATGATAACGTCGGCTCCTTGACGCGCAGGATGGCTGCCGGGAGCAGCCGCCGCGCATACAAACAACTGTGATAAATTAACTTTATTTTTCATAAATAGCATAAATACCGTCCGTGGATAAACTTTGAGAGACAGTGTTTTGTGAAACCGCCCTTATGATCGTCCCTATGGCAGCGTACGCACAATTCGGCTATTCATATCCGCCCGCCTCTCAGGTTAGTTACCTACATTTGTTATATAAACACAGTAAAAACTGTAGGTAGAATTGCTTTTTGGTGATTTATACTTGGTTATATAATATATTGTATTATAAAATGAATGAGATATTACATATTTAGTGATAATTAAATCAAGAAGAGTGTTTAGTTAGAAATTTATGTTATATAAAAAATTTAAGCACCAATGTAGAGTCAAAGAGATGATAAAGTGATTAATTTTGAATTCAGCTAATATAATTATTTTAGATAAATTAAATTGCGGATATTCTGATAAAAATATATTACTTACACATATATTTACGTGAAATAATATTATAATATATTAATTAATAGAGTAATATTATGTATAATACATAATAAATAAAACGTTTGGACAAAATCACGATATCCGACGGTGTTTTTAGTAAAAAATGATAAAGATTCATAAATATTAGTCTATCGAAATAGTATTTAATGAAAATTATCTAATAATATGCTGTAAATGGTTTATTATAAGTATACTAAAAGTTTATTTTATTCAATAAAATTATGAATCAGTTGTTTTTTTGCGTACTTTTAGAAAATATTTATTGAAACTAATATAAAGAGATTTTTGTAATAAATAAATAGTTTTATTTGTAATAATTCATTTGAAATAAACATTAAGAAGTTTTTTTTTAAATAAGAAGACAATAATAATAATAATAATATATAGACATACTTGTTAATTATATACAATAATTATAAATACATATACGTTAAAATATATATGTTTTATATAATAAGACTAAGATTTTAACAGCTTTTTTGCACTGTAAGTGAATATAATAAGGTTTTTCGAGACACAACCCCTTTAAAGCTTAAATAACTATTAACTGAAATAAAAGTACCCTTAGTTACTCCTTATAACATCAACTACCTGCCAGTGAAAGTCCCGTCAAAATCGGCCCAGTGGTTTCGAAGATTAACCGGAACAAACAGACAGACAGACAAAAACTTTAAAGATTGTGTTTTACTTATAAATCGTTGTTTAAAAACGTATAAAAACGTAACGTTTGTCGTTTCTTATAAACGTATATAATTCCATATACATTTAGTAAAAAGCTTTTATTTTGATATTACAAACAGAGACTTCAATTTTATTTATCTGTATAGATTATCTATATAAAAATCGATTGCCGTTCGGTAGTCTTGCTAAAGCTCAAAAACGGCTGGCAAAAAGGTGAGTCAAAAAATCCCAAAAAAAAAAAAACAGCTGGAAAGTCGAAAATTTCAAAACTGTTTATTTTCTACCTATGCGTCTAAACGTACCTAGGGATGAACACGAGCGAAGCGAGAGTGAGTCGCTATATATTGCAAAATAAATTCTTTTTTTTTTTTTTTTCTATTTATTATAAGGGCTTTTATTTCAAAAATATGCCAGCCCTATCATACCTTAATCTACATAGTTACATAAACCGGATCTTAACAAAATTATATACCATTTTGGCCTCCTCAGAAGTAGGAAAGGACAAAATGGTATTAAAATTACCTACATCGAAAATATTTAGATTCAATGATTTAATTAGGTTTTTCCTTTGTTTATCGTACCGGACACATTCCATTAATAAATGATAAACATCTTCATATACTCCACATACATCACAGTTTGGTGAGGGTGATTTTTTCATAAGAAATAAAAAATTATTTAATGGCATATGTCCGGAACGCAATCTATGTGCTATTTTAATTAAAGTTCTATTACTAAAAATCAAATCAAACCAGGGAGCACGAGGCGGCTGACATTGCAAAGTTCTGTACCAGATTCCTTTTTCTCTAGAGCGTTCATCGAAATATTCTTTCCACATATTATATATTTTATTTTTTTGTGATATTAAAACTTCAGAATAATTTGGAATAATATATACTTTAAAGCCTTTTGTACATCCAGCTCGAGCTAGTTGGTCAGCCTCCTCATTTCCCTCTAAACCTATATGCGATGGGACCCTAAAATAAATTCTTATTACAAGTATTATTTTTACTATATTAAAAGATGATGAAATACAGTTTTTGAAGTTACTATCCTTTGATATACGTTTAAGCTGAGCGAAAGTAATTCGCGTGTATAATATAAAATATCTAATATAAATAAAACAAACAATACGTTTTTGTGTTAATTAAATTGTACTGAATCGATTTATTGTTATTGATATATATAGCTACTATGAGTGAGTCTTATGGCATTGCAATAAAATAAGTTAATATTTATAGTCACTGCTTGGCAAAGTTGTTAAAGAGAACCGATTTTACTGCGCTTTGTTGTTTAAATTAACTGTTTGATAATATAATTAACTGAACACAGGTATATGTACTAGTAGGTACATAATAAATGTGTAAATAATAATAAATTTGTTGGGACATTATCACACAGCACCATCTAGTGGTGTGGTGGTAAGCTACGAGGCTTGTGTTATGGATACCAGATAGTTGATACACTACATATATATAACTTTAAATACATACATATTATAAATATAAACACCCATGACTGGAGTACAAACCTTCGTGCTCGTCACAAAAATGAATGCCAGCGGGACTCGAACCCGCGACCGCTGGCACAACAAGTAGGGTCACTACAAACTAAGCCAAACGTATCGTCAGTATATTTGTTATAGGTATATTTGTTATCCTTTCACGCTATAACGAATGGCTCAATGTAATACAGCTATACCACAAACACTGTTGTGATAGATGAATATATATATATAAGTCTGTTTTTGTATGTAGTGCAAAATACCCACGAATGCAGCCGAGCAAATCAATTTTACTTCACCAGTAATTAAAGCAAGTACCTAAATAATCTGTTAAATTACAACCGTTTTTTCTCTAACTGGCGTTGCTTTGTATATATAAAGGATTCAATACCTATACGGTGTAAATTACCAAACGCATATACGAGCATTTTGACCCGGCTTCGCTTAAGGTTTTTATTTGTTTGATGTAAACTCAAATCGTTATTTCTAACGATTTAGGCTTTAATATAGAAACACTAATCTTTCTAACTTCAATTGAAAGATGTGTTGAAGTCATTGTTGATCAGAACGTATACCGACTTCAAAAAATATAAAATCAAACTGCCTACTCTCGTTATAGAAGTTAAGAAAAAACGTAGTTTTAACTATGGAACTTATAATTTCATCTCTTTTGATCTCATTCATAGTATACTACTTACGAGTAAGTGTAGACTGCCGTCGGTCTATCAACGAAGCGGTATATATATGTGGCGTATAAAGTACTAGCGACAAAAACAAATTTATCCCACGGGAACCGTACATTTTTCTGGGCTAAAAAGTAACCTATGTGCTATTCCAAACTATAATCTATCTCTGTGCCAAATTTCATCCAGATCCGTTCAGCCGTTCTGGTGTGATTAAGTAACAAACATCTATCCATCCAAACTTTTGCATTTATAATATTTATTTAAGGGATGGGATGTTAGTAATAGACAAATGATGAACAACTAGGTTATAAATAATGAAAATGGCGTGTAAGAATCATGTAAATTCGTATTAAAATTTAAAAGATCTGATTTAAGAACTATATTTGGACGATTACGAATATTTATTTTAATTAGGTATTAACAGTCATTTCTTACTAATATTAGGCCCCGACTGCACTTGAAATCTAGAATTTAGGCTATTTTTGTGTTTAGCAATTAATTACGTAAATATTCTAGTTGTAACACCGTTCTACCAACAATATTATGTAAAAATGATATTGTTTGAGTAAATATATAAATTTTGTACTAATCTTATTACCTAATGAGCTCATATTTGTGTACTTAAACTATATTTTTTGTTTTGTATTAAGTTGTTCACGATGTAAATAATATTCAACTAACTACTTGTAATTTTTTCTCATTAAGTGAATGTTATTTTTTTGAGAAATAAATAAAGCATCTTTAAATCGATATAGGCTATTTTTGTTCTATTGATTATGAATTTTTTTCCAATCCGAGTAGTTGTTACAGTGTTAAAGAGTGACAAATAAATAAACTCACTGTATAGTAGGTAAAAATAGTAGATATGGTCTCGCAATCAAAATGAAGCTTAAAAGTCTTAGAATATCAGGTAAAAATTGCCTATTTCATATATTTTTTTTATCATTTACCTTAGTTTGTACTCTTTTTAAAAATAAAATGTAGAGCCGCTTTAAAAGAACGTCGGTTTAAGTTGATAATAAGAAAAAAAAACGTGAGTTAGATTAGTAGTTGCGTTATTCTCATTAGAAATATCCATCAAATTTCAAGAAATCAATTATATATATGAACAAAATTATTCCATATACAGCTTATCTAAGCAGTACTGAAAGAAACTGTGGGTTTTTATTAGTAAAAGAATCATAAAAATAGGTTCAGTATGTCCAGAGCTTATCACTTATAGGTATACATATAAACAAACAAACAGATTTTATTTTAATGATAGAGATGACGTGAATGATAATAACATATTAGATATGTATAAATTAATGCAAAATTAACACATGGCTTCGCATGTAATCAATATTGTTCTGTAATCTATAGATCTTTTAGATGTTGTTAGATTTTTTCAGATTTTTTAGGTTTTTTTTAGATTTCTTAGTTTTTTTAGATATTTTTAGATTTTTCTTATCATTATTAAATAAGCTTTTTTGTATTAGGTAGTTAATTTTAAATGAAATTAATAATAACAACCAAGAACCATGAAATACAGAGTTATACCACACATACAATTCATACACACTTTTCGTTGTCTTGTATGAAATTTTATAAGCTCATTATAAAATTTGTGTTAATTTGTCTGTTCTTTAGTTTATTTAGAGAAAGGAACGATTTCTACGATCTCAACATGCCTGTATTCAATTTATTAATATAATCAACAAGTATTTACGTTCTTATATAAACATTCGATGCTAAAAATGTAACCTATATACTTAGCAAAAAATAATTGCTTAGAACAGAAATCGAACTCACTATCCTGTTATTTGTAAAACCTACATTT